GCACAATGCCCAACACGTACCTACCCTTCCACACAGGTGCACACACACACACACACATCTCCTCACTCATCAGGCTTCTTGGTCCAGCCCACCCACCTTTTAACAAGCTCATTCTTCTGTCCGCGGACGAGTCCAGCAGTGGGTCGCGCGCGTAGCCCTGGCGAAGCGTGGCGCTGAGCCGAGTCGTGGGCCGTCTCTCTCTGTCTCTCTCTCCCACCGCTCTCTCGATCTCCCTCTCTCTTCTCTTTCACACTCTTTTGTTGCCGGCAGCAAGCTCTTCCCGCGAACCCAAACGCCCCTCTCCTCCACGCCCCCTCACGCTCTCTCGCACCAGGTGTGAGAAAAGCCAAATCATGCCGTTAATACAGTCGCGCTCGACGACACGACAGGTAATCTGCACGCGCTCTGCTTCCGGCCGGCTCTGCGTGAGGTGATCGAACTTCCGCACCTCTCTCTCCTCTCCTCCCCCCTCCCCCTTTTCTTTTTTTTCCCCCCCCCCCCCCTCGACCTTGACCACTCCCCACTCCCCTAATGATTGATGAGGCGCTTGATGTTTTGGCGTCACATTAACGCGCCCGGATTAATTTCATTAAACTGGTAGAGACAGTCTTGGGCGCTGTCCAATAAGTCAATCCCAGCCGGTAATGGAGACGTTAGTCCTGGGGAGCCGCGCGCGGGGCCTCAGTCTCGTGGATGTGCTCGCGGAGGATAGTGCGTAACTTCTCTTGTAGAGACAGACTTGGGCGTCACTTCTCTTGTAGAGACGGTCTTGGGCACTGATTGTGCGTAACTGTCGCGCCCTGACGGTGTGGCGCCAGTGCGGAACAGCGGCCGGTCAGCCTGTCGCAACGAGCGCTCACGATCACTTACCTCTGGACACGGCCAGGGTGCGCCAGGGTCACGTCGCCCCGGGCCCGCCTCCTCCTCCTCCTCCTCCTCCTCCTCCACTTTGCCCTCCTCCCCCTCTGGTCCCGCTCCGCCGCCGCAATTGCGATCGATTTTCGCGCCACTGACTTTGACCGTTTAGTTCGACCGCCGTTGCATCCTCCCGCCGCCGTTGCGCAGTGAGCGGGGTGTTGTTGGTCAGTTGGTTTAGCAGGGCCGTGGTGCAGTTTTGATCAGATGTTTTGTTCTGTCGGTGCAGTTTCAATAAGACTCTTTATTTTCTGAAGGTGCAGCAGTCCCAATTACAAAACGATTTTATTTTTTTCTGGATTGAAAATATGGTGGAGGTATTGTTACCGGACTTCTGTACATGTGGCAAACATGATTTCTTATCAAGGGCATTTCTAGTTTATTTATAGGAGAACGAATTGTATTGTAAATGTAACCAAAACTTTGAAAAGCGGAAAAAATTTCGCAGAACATTACAAGTTTGTGCTTTAAAGGTCGCCAGTGGAAGTTGGACGCCACTGTCTCTCCGGTGCACACTTGAAACTGGGCAAGGTCGTGTTTAACAACGAGTCGTGTCCTGCGGGGACAAACAAATTTAGATTTGCCACGCTTTGCTCCTGCTTTGCCCTGTCACGGTTTAAGAGAAGAGTGTTTCAAACGGGACTTCCGTTAAGTTGGCAAGAGAGCAGACGCCCCCCACAAACAAGGATTATTTTTTGAGTGAGGGTGGGGGGGGAGAGGGAGAGAGCGTTGTCGACAAATGAAGCCGTAAAGGCGTGCCGTGTCGGTGTGAGATTTATCTAATTGCCGTCCTCTCTCTGGAGCTGGGCCGCCCCGCCAGGCGTGGCATCGCCAGATCACGACGAGAGCCTCACAGTGACTGAGTGACCCTCTCGCTCTCTTGGCTTCGTCGTCGTCGTCGTCAATTTTAGTTGCGCAATACGCAATAATGATGAGCCCTTGTGCGCTTGTCGCGCTTTCGTGTCGTGTTCACCGTCGAAAAGGGCGCGGCGCAAATCGCCGCCGGCGACGACAAGGCTGTGATTCTGTTTGAAAAGAAAGAAAGGCACAATAAGGAAAAGACGCCGTTTTGCGCATCAAAAAAAGCGGGCGACGCTCAGACACTCTGGGAAAGTGTGGGACACACGACACACGCACGAAAATGGTGTGTAACGAAAGTGGTTTTGCTCCCGACGTGTGAGAAAAGGTTTCACACTTTAAAGTCATGTCATGCAAACATGATAAAAATTCGAATCTTTCAAAATGTTAGTTTTGTTCATTATTTAGCTTGTATTGTACTTTTGTGGCTGACGACCTCCTTCCCCTTCCTGTGCCCGCAGACAGCAGCGACCAGTCGACGCAGGCGGCCTCGTGGTGGCAGAGCCCCGCCGACCTGGGCGCCGACAATCCCAACGTGTTCAGCTCGACGCACGGGCTGGTGCAGACGCACCCGCTGCTGGGCTCTGGGCCCGCCCTGGGCCCAGGGCCGTCGCCCTCGCCGCTGCCGGGGCTCGACCCGCTCGCCTCGCTGAACGTGGTGCGCAAGGCGGGGCCGCAGCCCGCGCTGCCCGGGGCGCCGCCCGCGCCGCCGCAGCCGCCGCGCAAGATCGACGCCCCCAAGAAGGGCCTGATAGAGCTGGAGCGCAACCCCAGCCTGTCGTCGCCCGAGGAGTGCGCCCGCGCCTGCAGGGAGGGCGAGCCGCCCCGCACCTGCTACTACCACTTCACCGTCGAGCTGTACACCGTCCTCGGGGCGTAAGTTGCACCACGAAATTCTTTTCTTCTAGGGTCGGGTTCGCGATAATACCAATCTCTGATTTTTCGAGGAAAAGGAGAAAAATTGTAGGAACTTCTTCGGTTTGAAAAGAACTCATAAGGTTTTGAGGAAATCTCGAGAAATGAGGGAGTTTCCCTCATATTTTTAGGAGACTTTCTCCACACCTGGTCAGTTTCCCTCTAATTGTAGAAGTTCCCGAAAGCTTTCTCTTTTTGTCGAAAAATCATTGACTGTTTTACAGTGGTACCTTTAAGGTACCAAGGAAAAATTATCCTATAATTTTGATGAGTTTCGGCGTTTCGGCTGTCTTGAATTCCACCGTAAATAATTCATCCCTTTTGGGAATAATTTTACCCAACTGTATCAAAGCCTCTAAAGCTACCCTTTCACTGATATTTTGGCGTCCCAAATGTACCCCACCCCCGACCTCGCCCCCTGTGGCGGTCGCGGGCGTGACCTCGACCGTGTCCCTTGGCCGCCGACGCCGACCTCGGCGCGCACGCCGCCCCTTCCCTTCGCACCCCTCACATCCGGTCTCATGTTGCAGCGCCTGCCAGGTCTGCGTGCCCAACGCCACCAACACCGTGTGGTCCCACTGCCAGTGCGTCCTCGCCGACGGTGTGGAGCGAGGCATTCTCTCTGTCAACCGTATGTTGCCCGGGCCTAGCATCCAGGTAAAGTGTACCGAGTCTTTATCAGACACGATTTTTTTTTTTTTGTGGGAGAACTGGAAACTTTTCCAGAAAAACTTTGGGAAAAACGAAATGGTTTTTAGAATTCTTAAAAAATTCTAACCAAAACATCTTGAAAAATTTTCAAAAAGTACTTCTCTGGAAAATTAAAATCCCTAAATGTGTTCCATGCAGGTCTGCCAAGGAGACAAGATCGTGGTGGACGTGGAGAACCACATGGAGGGCATGGAGCTGACCATCCACTGGCACGGCATCTGGCAGCGCGGCACCCAGTACTCGGACGGGGTGCCCTTCGTGACGCAGTGCCCCATCCAACAAGGAAACACGTTTAGGTACCAGATGGAGGCCGGCAACGAGGGGACGCACTTCTGGCACGCTCACTCAGGTACGTAGCATGAACGTTTTCCTATTTGTCAATCTCAAATACCATCAAACCACATGTGTTGGGAAACAATGCTCCGTTTTCCCTCGTTCCTCAAATTTCAAATTGTGTGGCTCAAACAAATATTTTTGGATAACGTTGTCATCGCGCTTTCCCGCCAGGTCTGCAAAAGATGGACGGTATCTACGGCAGCATAGTGGTGCGGCAGCCGCCCTCGCAGGACCCCAACAGCCACCTGTACGACTTCGACCTGACCACGCACGTGATCCTGCTGTCGGACTGGATGCACGAGGACGCCCTGGAGCGCTTCCCCGGCCGGCTGGCCGCCAACACGGGTCAGACCCCCGACACGCTGCTCATCAACGGAAAGGGACAGTTCCAGGTGCGTCGAGTAGATGCAAGAAGAAGGTTATAGCTATGAGCTAAACCAATAGCTGAATAGCTACGTAGCTAAAGGTTAGCTGTGTAGCTAAAATAGCTATGTAACTAAAAAAATAGCTATGTAGCTAAGGATTAGCTGTGTAGCTGAAATAGCTATGTAACTAAAAAAGCTATCTAGCTAAAGAATAGCTGTGTAGCGAAAATAGCTATGTAGCTAATTTTCATCTACACGTATATCGGATTATAGTTTGTAACCGTGACGTGTGTCTCCAGGACGCCAAGACGGGCTTCAGGACCAACACCCCGCTGGAGATCTTCACGATGACGCCCGGCCGCCGCTACCGGTTCCGCATGATCAACTCGCTGGCCTCCGTGTGCCCCGTGCAGCTCACCGTGCAGGGCCACGCCCTCACCGTCATCGCCACGGACGGCGAGCCCGTGCACCCCATGCCCGTCGACACGGTCATCTCCTTCTCCGGTACGTGGAGCGTGGCCCGTGGCGCGTGGCGCGTGGCCCGGCCCCGGGGCCGCCTGCGCGGCGGGCAGCCCGAGCGCGCGCGTGCCCGGCGGGACGGCCTACCCTGGCGGCCCGCAGGGGCTTTGCTGCGAACGGCTCGGCGTCCCGCCGCGGTGCGGCTCAAACTGGAGGCCGTTAGAGATTTTATATTGGGAATTTTTTCACGCAAGGTTTTTTAAATCCCTATTTTTTCGTAAGCAATTTCATTTTGTTTCCTAAATGTTCTAGAAACAGTAGTTTTTCCAAAAATTTGTCTGCAATAGTTTTTCCCAAACCAGCATTATAAATCCTTATAGAGGCCGCACGCTAAAATGAAGTTATGTTGTTGGTGATGTTCTTAACAACACTATTAAACTCGGCGTTCTAAATGGAAGTGGGATGCAGGCTGTGATAAATTCATTCCAGTAGGTAACGTTTTTACCTGGGTAGCTTTATCAAAGCATCTTGAAATGCTTCCGTTTTCAGATAGACATCCAATGAGAGGGATGCACAAAAAGTAGCCCACCCTGTAAAAAAATGTTATGTGATCTGTTTAGTTTCAGCGTTAAATGGATATTTTTTTTCTTAAAATCCGACTCACGTTAAAAGCAAACTCTTCTTTTAGAAAATGTTAAAATTACCCCCGACCACGTCCGAATAATACGTAATTCATGTTGGGACTCTTATGGAATGATTGCAGGAGAGCGGTACGACTTCGTGATCACGGCGGACCAGCCCGTGGGCGCGTACTGGATGCAGGTGCGCGGTCTGGGCGAGTGCGGCGAGGCGCGCGCCCAGCAGCTGGCCATCGTCCGCTACGCCCGCGGCCCCTACCAGCCCCGCACCACCGCGCCCACGTACGACGTCGGCCTGCCGCAGGGCATCGTAAGTGCAGCCAGCTATACAGCGAAGAATAGGCGAGGAATAGAAAGACGCATTTTCAGAGCAGCAGTTATTTTTTTTTTCGGATGGATGTCACACTGTAAAGGGTACCACGATGTTTCCCGCAGTTTTTTTGCTTTTTTCAAACGACGCCGAATACATCTCCTGACTAAATGTCTCTTTTCGTAGAAAACTGCACCTCTTTGGTATATTTTCTCCTTAAAGGCAAAAGACGGTCACCTAACAGCAATCGCATTGCGCTTGCCCTGCAGGTGCTGAACCCCCTGGACGCCATCTGCAACTCTGACAGGACGGACGCCGTGTGCGTGAACCAGCTCAAGAACGCCAAGACGGTGGACGAGGGCATCCTCCAGGAGCGGCCCGACGTCAAGATCTTCCTGCCGTTCCGGTTCCTCTTCTACACGCCCGAGGAGGTGTTCGAGCCCCACACGTACAACAGGTTCCTCGGTAAGCAGCTGGGTGGCCAAAAGCCGCGCCGAGCTGGTGTAAAGGGGCCGTTCAGAATTAGTGGACAATAGCGGGTACGGATATTACGGGGTCCCCAAAAGGATTAGGACGGTCATTAGAGTCTAAGGCGACCCCATGGTATTTGTACCCCAGGGTAAAAATACCATGGGCTCCCCTTGGACTGCAATGAACATCCTGATCCTTTTGGGGAACCCGTAATATTTGTACCCCCCCCCCCTCCATTGCCCACGTGGTTTCCGAACGGCCCCCTAGGGCACTGGCTGGGCCCTGCGCGCGTGCCGCCCGCGGGCCTCGCGTGGCGACGCCTGCATAACGCCCTGCACGACGCCCTGCCGCCTGCCTCACTGCGCGCCCCCCGCCGACGTGTGCCCTGGTCGCGTGGACGCGGACGTGTCGCTGAGCT